GGGTATGCAATTGTTTCCTATGGTACTGTAACAAATTGCCACAAATTTAGTGACTAAAAACAGCAGAAGTCGGCCCTCCCTGGTGGCGCAGTGGATTAAAGCACAGCACTGAGAATCTAAAGCCGTTTCCTCATGAGTTCGATTCCTGCCTGCCCCGGAGGTGACCACATGGCATGGCAGACCTCTCCTGGCCCGCCTGCTGCTCCCCTCAGCAGTGTACTTTGTCGATCTGCCTGTTCTGTTCCCCACTCTGTCTCTGGTGAAGCCTCTCACCGCCCCTGAGCCTCTGGCCTGTACCCCAGTTCTGTATGCACAAATAAAATAAAATCTTTAAAAACAAAACAAAACAAAACAAAACAAAACAACAGAAGTAAATTTTCATTCTGTTCTGGAGGCCAGAAGTTCAACATTGGTGTATGTGGTTCAAATCATTGGTCAGCAGCCATCTCTCTTGGAGTCGCTGGTTGTCTTGCTTCTTCCAGCTTCCAGAACTACACCCTTTGGATCACGGGTCCTTGCTGCATCTTTAAAGCCACAAGCATAGCATCTAGTTTTAGTGGTCACATTGTCCCCCCTTTCTGTGGCAGGTGTCCCTCTGCCTTACTCTTTTTTTTAATTTATGCATATAGAAATGGGGTACAAGCCAGAGGTGTAGGGTTGGTGAGAGGAATCACCAGAGACAGAACAGGCAGATTGACAAAGTACACTGCTGAGGGGAGCAGTGAGCGGGTCAGGAGAGGTCTGCTGCGCCAGGCAGATCACCTCCAGGGCGGTGATCAAACTTGGCGGAAGCCGCTGCGGCCAGCTTGCAGTGCTGCGTTCTAGCTCCTAGCCCGTTGCGCCACCAGGGAGGGCCCTGCCTTACTCTGTCTTACTCTTATGGGAACATCTGAGAAACTTTTAGGACCTCACTGGACAACCCAGGATAATCTTCCCATCTTAAGATCTTTACCTTAATCATATCTAAAAGCCCTTTCATCACAGAAGTTCATGTTTCCTGGTTTTGGATATGAGGATGCAGTGCCTTGCTCAGCCCACTGCAGGGTAGGAGGAGACACTAGGAGCTCTTTCTTTGGGAAGAAATGGGAAAACAAGATGTGGGTGGGAGGTAAAGAGATGTGTGACTACATGAGCTTTCTGCATGTCCATTGGGATTCAGTGCAGGAGATGGAAGCTAATTCAGGTACTTAGAACAAAAAGATATCAAATACTGGGAGCAAGGACTTACTAAATCATTAGGAGAAGGGACATTGGTCAAAGGTACAAACTTCCATTTATAACATAAATAAATATCAAGGACATAATGTACAACGAGATGTACAATTAACACAGCTGCAGGGTATATTTGAAAGTTGTTCAGATGGTAGATCCCAAGTGTTCTCATCTCAAGGAAAAATCATTTTTACTTCTTTTTTTTAATCTACACGAGCTGGTGGATTTTAATGAAATTTATTGTGATAAATCACATTGTCACATGTGCAAAGTCAACAGGTTTTGATCTCTCTCCATATATTTTTTTTTTTTAAAGATTTATTTATTTGTGCATACAGAACTGGGGTACAGGCCAGAGGCTCAGGGGCGGTGAGAGGCTTCACCAGAGAAAGAGTGGGGAGCAGAACAGGCAGATCGACGAAGTACACTGCTGAGGGGAGCAGCGGGTGGGTCAGGAGAGGTCTGCCACGCCATGTGGTCACCTCCGGGGCAGGCGGGAATTGAACTCATGAGGAAGCGGCTTTAGATTCTCAGTGCTGTGCTTTAACCCGCTGCGCCACCAGGGAGGGCCTCTCTCCATATATTTTTAAAGATTTATTTATTTATTCATACAGAACTGGGCTACAGGGCAGAGGTGCAGGGGCAGCGAGAGGCTTCACCAGAGACAGAGCAGGGAGCAGAACAGGCAGATCAAGAAGTACACTGCTGAGGGGAGCAGTGGGTGGGTCAGGAGAGGTCTGCCATGCCATGTGGGTCACCTTTGTTAGGGTCAGAGAAGTCTATTACCACGAAAGACAGAGCGTCACACAAGAATGCAAACCGCAAGGCAGAGTTTATTGGGCTGGCCAGCCAGGGTCAAGCTGTTCCCTGTCGGAGCCGCAGGACCAAGGGTGCGAGGGAGATCCCGACCAAAGGAATATCAGGGAATATATAGGCCTTATTGGCCGTTACATACATCATAGCCTGTGCAAATTCAGAGCTCGTGCAAATTCAACTTAGCAAATGGATTCAAAGATTAACAGACGTCACAGCCTGGGTCACAGTTCAACCAACCAAGGACAGGTTTCCAGGAATAGATGTCTCATTTCCTGGTACCTCCAGTCCAATCAGCCTGGGCCACACCATTCCCATTATCCAATCAATTTAAATGTACATTGTCCTTCTTCAACCTATCCTGCATTCCGGGAAGGGTGGGGGTAGGTGCTTGCCTGGGCTAGTTTTGCTCAGGCCTACATTACTTCCTCCATTCCTTCACCTTCAAGGCCAGGGATCAAACTGGCACTGAAGTGTCTGCCGCTTGCTTGCATTTGCAGTGTTGCGTCCTAACCCGTTGGACCACTGGGGAGGGTCCTTGATCTATATTTTTAAAGTTCATTTTGATTACTTTGGACCATGATAATTAGCCAGCCTTAAAGTGGTCACTGATCACCCCTATATCTTGGTATTTATCCTTTTGTATAGCTTCCACCCAGGATAACTCAGAGAACTGCTCATTGATGAATAGAATATAGTTACAATCATAGTGATTGTGAGATGAGATCATAAAGAGCATTGTGACTACAAGTATGTTGTCAGGACACTCACTCAGCCCTTTGGAGATTCCTTCCATCAATGGCCAATGTGAGGGTGGCCTCTTGAATCCTCTAGCCCCAGCCTAGTCTTCAGATGTTCTAGGCAACATCTTGACTGCTGCCATATGAAACATATCACACCAGAATCATCCAGCCAAGCTGTTTTTGAATTTGTGAGCCATAGTGACTGTGAGATAACAAGTACTTACTGTCTTTTTAGCCTCCAAGTTTTGGGGTGATTTGTTATGCCACCATGGGTAACTGAACCACTGTCCTAACATTTCACCGTGGAATGCGGATAATTAGCATGTATCACTTTTAAGATCTTGTTACAGATATCACCACCTTCAAGGGACCTTCATGATTGCTTCTCGACATTAACCGCCATCCTATCTCATTGGCCTGTTTTATTTTTCAAAAATAATACTTAATCACTATCAGAAATAAGTAACAACAACAACAACAAAAACCAATAGTGTCAATGTCTTATTTCTTCACTGTTTTGTTGTCTCTCTTGTCTTGATGGAAAATTCCATGAAGGAAGAATCTTATTCATCTTTCACCCAGGGTGTGGTGTTCTACAAGAACTCAAATGCAGGGACTGCTGTCATGCAACTTGTATGCATGAATACAATGGGGACAAAGTTAAATGTGTGTGTTTGCGCGGAGCCTAGGTGTCGGAGACTCTTTGTCCCTGATCACGGATTATTGGGGGCCAGAACTGGCAGGGTCTCAAGGTGGAAATGGCATCGGCGAGTGGTGATTCCTAGAAAAAGGAGAAAAAGGGAAAAAAAGGGAGCAGGCGCGAGGAAGACACGGGAATGGGAGTTGGGTGCAAGTCTTCCTGCTCTGCCTTCAGCAGAGGTTTATTTTATACACTTCTAGCAGGCAGAGGGATGACATTAGCATATAAAATGGGCTGAGATCACAATCACCTTTTTGCTAAGAATAGTCTGGGGTCGTTTTTTGACCTTCAGTTGAGATTATAACATTTTTAAAATCAACCTATTAAGGTTAAAACAGGTACATAGATTCACAAAGTTTAAGACTAATATTACTATATTTACCACAGTGAAGATTAACCAAAATAAAATCCCTGAAACATTATCTATTACTTAAAGGCTTTCATTCTCATAGGGGGTAAAGTAAAGTGAAGTCAGGAAGAGGAAATTTCTTGTAAATCAAATTAAGGTAAGGTTCTTTGAAAAACTTGTTAGAAAGTTTAAGTGAGTTTTCTTGAAGTCTAGAAGATAGAAAACCTGATTAGCTCTGAATAGGCGACTTGGGTAAATTTCTGTATCTAAAGACTAGATAGTAGAAAGCTTGAGTGGTTATTTAGAAACTGAATAGAAGGCTGTGTGAGATAGAGTGATAAGATTTGGGTTTTCCTCCCTCTGACAGTGAGAGAGACTTTGCAGTTACAGCCATTTGTTTTTATTAATCAACCAGTTGTTTAATGACTTTTGACTTCCAGAGGAATTTCTCACCCAGGTGCACTATTTGCTTGTCAGGGCCAGGTAGCGCCTTCTGAGGTTGAGGCAATCCAATTGTAAACTGAAGGTTGCTCGGAATATTTTGATATTATGATTATACAAAAAAGGGAGGTCATAACATAAGTTGTCCCAACTTCTGTGACGGGCCGCAAGAAAGGAAGGCGGGAGGCAGAAAGGCTGAGCAAGCAGAGTTTATTGCTCCGGGACAGCAGCTGAGACGGAGCCCCCAACTCAATAAGGGGGAAGGGTCTCTTATATAGGTCCTAAGCTCAGATTTCAAAGGGGTGACTCATCGCTGTGTCCTTGATGTAAGGCCCAGTTCGTTATCACCTTCGTCTAGTCCCATCCAGCAAGGACCCGTTAATTAGATGCAAGGCCCAATTTATTACCACCTTATCACCTTTGGATGCAAGGCTGATTTATTATTGCCCTTATCCAGTCCTTCAGTAAATCTCTGCATTTGGTCACTCCCAACAATAAGTTAGCATGGAAAGTCTGATTTTTCAGAGCATTTCCGTCTCCATCCTCCATCTATAGAGGTTGCATAGCTTGTGTCACCTAGGGTCTGGGGATCCCCTCAAGTTGGATTTGCAAATTCTTGACGTTTAAAGAAAAAGGGAAGTGAGAGACAACCCGGACACCTGAGCACAGGGCAAGGGCCAGAAGCTACCAAGCTCTGGTTGTAACTCCCAGGGCTCCTGCATTGGGTGAAGCCATGGGCGCAATGTACACCAATTCTCCGCATTGGGAACGGCCAGGTATGACCCTAGTTAGGCCCTGCCAGGGCTGGGAGTGAGAAGGACCAGCACTCCCATGCTGGGGCTGGAAAGCAGGGCCTGAGGGCAGAGGAGGGCATGGGTTCTCACTTGCCTTTCCTCTGGAAGGGGTCGGAGAGGATGATGATGGTGATGATTATGAGAACATGGCCACACCCTACAAGGATCTTCCACCCAAGCCAGGTAAGAGGACTTCTCAGAGGCCAGGTAAAGAGATAAGTGACTTGGTGGTGAAGAGGGTAAAACAGGGGTTCCAGAGGGTATTAGTTGACACTGCAGTTACACACCCAGCCAGTGTGCCCAGTTCACGCTAGGCACCAGTATCTGTGGTTATGCCGTACCCTTGAGGATCTCTCGGTCCATTGGGGCTGGCAGTCATGGGCACAGCCTAGGTGTGAGAGTAGAGGGGCACAAAGAATGGGGAAATAATGAAAGAAGTTGAGGGTCTTGTTTGCAATGGTGGGCAGAAGATGGAACATTGAATGTGATTTGAGGGATAAGGAATTCATTAAGAAAAGAAACAGTGAAGAGAACTGGTTAGATGATCTGTCTCTCAGACCACTCATGTTTGAGAAAGTGAATGGAACTTTGGCTCCCACCTCCTCACATTCACACCCAGGGCCCAGATTTGCCTTTGTACTTATGCCACCAGGCATGGGCCAGGACTCAACACGAGTCCAGCTGGATGTAAAAGAGGAGGCTTTGTCCTTACCTTTAGTTTTTATGTGTCTTGGTGTTTGCCTCATTTGGGTTTATCTCATCTGGAATTTTCTCGATTTCCTGGAACTGGATGTCTTTGTTCAGGCTAGGGAGTTTTGAGCAATTATTTGTCAAGTAAGTTTTCTTTCCCTTTCTCTCTCACTTCTCATTCTGGAACCCTTATAGTATGAGCATTAATCTTCTTTCTTTTTTTAAAGATGTATGTATTTGTGCATACAGAACTGAGTTAGAGGCCAGAGGTGAAGGGGTGGTGAGAGGATTCACCAGAGACAGTGGGGAGCAGAACAGGCAGATTGGTGAAGTACACTGCTGAGGGGAGCAGCAGGTGGGTCAGGAGAGGTCTGCTGTGCCATGTGGGTCAGCTCCCTGGCCAGGGATTGAACTCATGTGAAGTGGCTGTGACCAGCTTTGTAGTGCTGTGTTTTAATTTGTTGCACCACCAGGGAGGGCCCCTCACCACAATTTAAACCATCATCTGAACCCTAATCTTGACTCTGTCCTATCCTGCAACTCAACTGTGCTTACTCAGAATAGAAATATTTCCTGAGATGTGGGGCTTTCAGTTTGAAACTGGGAAAGTTACAGGTGACCCTGAATGGTTAGATGATCTATCTTAATGCTGTCCCCATTCCTAACCCAGTTTCACTCCTAAGCCTCCACCTTCTAGCCCTTGACTGCAATGTAGATTCTGTCTCCATGATGACTTTGGATTCGGTTTCAGCTCAAACCAGCTCTAACTCTGAACTTCTCCTCTGCAGGTTCAATGGCTCCACCAAGGCCTCCGAGGGCAGGTGAGCTGGGGCTGGTGGTACAGGAGACCCAGTGCTGGCTTTTCCCTGCTCTGGGCCTGAGCAACCATTTCTCCTCCTTAGGAAAGAAAACAGAGAACCCCCCACTTCCCCTCAAGCCCCCAAAGAGCACAGGTGAGGAACTAGGACAGAGACATTCCTGTTGACTTGACCGAAGCGTGGTTCTACATGATCATTGTCTTTCTGACGCTTTCCAGGTCTGGATATCACCCCTGTCATCAGCACGTGTCAACCAGGTAAGCAGTTGAGGAAGATTTTTTTTTTGGGACCCCTGGAATTCCTCCAGTCTCCCAGTTCTGACCAGACAGAGCAGGAGGGATGGGAAGATTATTGAATCTTGGAAGTCAGTCTTTTATTTTTTTTTTTAGCATTCTTTTGTTTTGTATGTATGTATTTTCTTTCTTTTATTTATTTGTATATCTATTTACATTATTGCTAATTTTATAGCAATGTTTACTTCCCTACTCCCCCTACCCGTCATCACCATAGTCCCCCACATTCCTCCCTCCTTCTGATCCCTCTCCGTCCCCCTCCCCTGTGGGATCTCTCTGGTTTATAATTGTCTGTTTTTGCTTTGTTTTGTATTGTAATAAAAATATACTTTTCCCCCTATGTCTTATTTGGTTCTCTTAAATTCCTCCTCTAAGTGCAACTATTTGATATTTTTCTTTTTCCTTCTGACTTATTTTACTGAGCATAGTCCCTTCCAGCTTCATCCATGTTGCTATGAATGGCATTAATTTATCTTTTTGATTGCTGAGTAATATTCCATCATATGTATGTATGTATATATGTATATATATACACACTATATATACACTATATATATATATATATATATACACACACTATATATATATATACACACACATACACACCACATCTTAATCCATCTTAATCCATTCATCTAGTTTTGGACATTTGGGTTATTTCCAGGATTTACCTATTGTAAGTAGTGCTGTAATAAACATAGGGGTGCATATATGCTTTGAATTAATGTTTGTGTGTCCTTTGGATAGATTCCTAGGAGTGGGATTGCTGGGTTGTATGATAGTTCCATTTTTAGTAGTCTGAGGAATATCCATACAACTTTCCGTAGTGTTGTACCAGTTTGCATTCCCATCAGCAACGCAGGAGAGTTCCTTTTTCACCACATCCTCGTCAACATTTGTTGTTGGTAGTTTCTTTGATATGTGCCATTCTCACTGGTGTAAGGTGGTATCTCATTGTGGTTTTGATTTGCATTCTTGGAAGTCAGTCTTTCAGCAACTTCTGAATGAATCTCTCTCTTCTTTCCCAGGCATTGATCTGGAGCATCCTCCCTTTCAGCAACGCCCTTTCAGTAAGTCCTCATGTCCTCTAGGTGTGCCCTTCCCTCCCCCCTTGCAAAGCCAGTGTATTCCAGTCAGGCCTATAGATCCAAACTGAGACCCTGGGTCAGAGAAACCTCTCATTTCGGAAGGTACTCCTTCCCTGGTGCAGACCAGACCCCCTGAGAGCCGGGCACTCTTAAGGCCCAACTTCCTCCTTATATAAGGTACAGGAAACATTTTGTGTCCAGATGCAAGGGTCCACAGCCTTCCTGGAATGGGAGCAGCTTGAGCAGGGATTACTGGAGAGAAGACAAATGCATTAGAGATATTAAGAGCAGAGCTGGGTTCAAGTCCTGCACAACTCACTTGAAACTTCAGTTTACTTATTTACAATTACACCCTGAAGGTTTGACTCTAATAAGATAGTGAAGACACAGCATGGTACTTGGCATCCATTAAGTGCTCCTCAGGACTTGCTCTCCTTGCGCTCTCTTGCTGACCCTACCTGGTGATATGGTAATGATCACAGTCTTCTGTTCCCTGCTCACTCTTGGAAACACCAGTGTCACTCTCCCTACCCTGTCCCTCCAGCATCCCCAGCGTCCTGGCTCAACAAGAAGTCCCGAGGTTCCTGGTGCTACCGGGTGGAGAGACTGATGTGCTTGTGTCTGCTGGTGGTGATTTCACTCTTACTGAGCTGCACTGCTCTAATTGTGAATCTGATTAAATGTGCGTAGTTGAGGGTTGGGCAAGGGGAGATTCTGGGGGGAGGGAGCACGGGAGGACCTGGGTTCAAGCTAGATTCTTCTTCACAGACCAGGAAGTAGTGGAAGAAATAAGAATGTTAACCTTTGAGCAGATGGCATGGCGAGCAAATGGTGAGTGCTTTCATTCATTCCTCCATACTACGGACACTGAACACCTGTGTGATCCTCGACTCCAAGACTAACTCTAACCACATCTCCCCAGGCACCGCTGTGCCTGGGGAGTGAGTAGTCAGAATGGTGACACATCAGCTACAGATCCAGTCCCTGTTCCTGTGGAGTGTGCGTGTGTGTGCGAGAGTGTGTGAGCCTCGAGTGTCCACATGGCAACTCTGTGGTTGTTGAACATTTGAAATAGGGTTATTCTGGACTAAGATGTGCTGTAAATGTAAAATACATATTGGTTTCCAAGATTTGCTACAAAATATTAAGTAAAATATTTCAACAATTGTAATAATTTTAACATTGACTACACATTGCCATATTGTCTTGAATATATTGTGATAAAAAAGCATTCAAATTAATTTTATCTATTCCACTACATTAAACATTCAAAAGTAAAAGTCACTGTAGGATTCCATATAGGCCCAGGGCATGTGGTGTGTGGTGTTAACACTGGAAAATGATACAGTGGGGTGCACAGCTTTTGCTTCTCTTTTGTCTGCAGTCAGTGGTGGGTGGGTGGTTAGATGAAAATTCTGGGTCTCTAATCTTCAAGCTCATCCTTGCTGACAGTGTCTGGCATGGAGGGGCTCGCTGGACTGAGGAAGGACATTGACCACTTAAGAGATGGCACCAACAAGTCCCTGACAAAACTTCAAGGTTTATTAGGTGAGTGGGACTTGGGGCATCAAATCCAGGGAGCAATTCTCAGTGCAGACTATTTCAATAATGCCCCCAGAGTTGAACAGTCCATAGACAGCACAATTGTACATAGTACCCCACATACATGGCTTGGGCTTTGGGGCCCACTGATAGCATTCTCTCATATCCCCAGGCTGTAACAAGGCCACGTGCCCTGAGGACTGGATCCCTTTCGACAGCAAATGTTACTACTTCTCCAAAGTCACCAAGTCATGGGAGGAAGCCCGGAAATTCTGCCAGGAGAATTACTCTCATTTGGTCATCATCAGTAGCTTTGCTGAGCACGTGAGTGGTCCTCTCCTTAAAATCTTTCAAGGTCAGTCTGCCTCTCTTCTAGGATTTTCACAGTCTTCCCTGGCTTAGAATGAGAAAAACTGGAATTCTGGAATTACCTTAGAGTCACTAAGACTTTTTAAAAACTTATTATTATTATTATATTTTTTTGCACAGAAGAACTGGGGTATAGGACAGAGGTGTGGTGGGGGTTAGTGAGAGGATTCACCAGAGAGTGTGGGGAGCAGAACAGACTGAAATACACTGTTGAGGGGAGCCATGGGTTAGACAGGAGAGGTCTGCTGTACCATGTGGGTCACCTTCCTGGCCGGGGAGCGAACTCAGGTTGTAATGGTGATTGAACTTAGACCATAGTAGTGGTAATGTTGAGACTTAGCCCCTAGGTCACCAGAGAGGCCCCCACTAAAACTTTTTTTTTTAAAGATTTATTTATTTATGCATCCAGAACAGGCCAAAGATGCCAGGGCAGTGAGAGGATTCATCAGAGTGGGGAGCAGAACAGGTAGACTGACAAGTACATTGCTGAGGGGAGCAGCGGGTGGGTCAAGAGAGGTCTGCCATGCCATGTGGTCACCTCCAGGGCTGGCTGGGATTGAACTCATGCTGAAGTGACTTCAGCTTCTTAGTGCTGTGCCACCAGGGAGGGCCCACATACCATTATTTTTAAAGTGGATTTCTGTAGACAGCAAATATGTCTTCTTAAAAAAAATTACAATGACAATCCTTGGCTTTTAAAAAAATAATAGTTTATTTTTACATCATTTTGTGCAATTTTTTCATCTCAGTTATAATCCTCGTGGGATTCCCATCACCAAATCACCCATGTGCCTTCATCATAGTCTAGTACATTTCCCTCCCCCAACTGTTTTTGATCCCATTCCCCATTCCACCTCCACAAAATATCTTTGGTATATATCTGTTCATTATTATTATTATTTTCTCGCCTGGTCCGTTATACTCCTGCTATGAGTGAAACTATCTGGTACTTTTCCTTTTCTTTTTGGCTTATTTCACTAAGCATGATCTTCTCCACCTCCATCCATGTTGCTGTAAAAGACATGTGTTTATTTATTTATATTTTTGGTTTCCAATATTCCATTATGTATATGTATCACATCTTTTTAATCCAGCCATCTACTTTTGGGCATTTGGGCTGTTTCCATGTCTTTCCATTTGTAAATAGGGAGCAATAAACATGGGGGTGTCTTTTTGAATCAGTGTTTTTGTGTCTTTTGGGTAGATACCTAGGAGTGGGATTGCTGGGTCATAGGGAAGCTCCATGTTAAGCAGTTTGAGGAGGCTCCAAACAGTTTTCCATAGGGGTTGTACTAGTTCTCATTCCCACCAGCAGTGAAAGAGAGTTCCTTTCTCTCCAAACCCTCACCAACGTTTGTTGTTGCTAGTTGTTTGAAATTGTGCCATTCTCACTGGGATGAGGTGGTATCTCATTGTGGTTTTAATTTGCATCTCTGTTATTACAAGTGATGTTGAACATTTTTTCATATGCTTGTTGGCCATCTGCATTTCCTCTTTGGAGAAGTGTCTTTTTAGCTCTTCTGCACATTTTCTTGATGGGGTTGTTTATTTTTATTGAGTTTCATCAGTTCTTTGTATATCTTTGTGATCAATCCTTTATCACTCGTTTTGTGTGAGAAAATTTTTTCCCAATCAGTGGGATGTCTGCTTGTCTTTTGTAATGTCTTTTTTGCTGTACAGAAGTTCGTTAACTTGATGTAGTCCCATCTATTTATCTTTGCCTTCACTATTGTGGTGTTGGGTGCTCTGTCTTTAAAGATGTCGCTGAAGTGTATGCCGTGTAGTGTTTGGCCCATCTTTGCTTCCAGGTATTTTATGGTTTCTGTTTTTATGTCTAAGAGTTTAATCCACTTTGAGTAGATTTTTGTGTATGGTGTGAGATAGTAATCTAGTTTCATTTTTTGCATGTAGCTTCCCAGTTTTCCTAGCACCATTTGCTGAACCAATTTTCTTTGTTCCATTGTATCTTCTTTGCTCAGAGATTAGCTGCCCATAAACCTGTGGGTTTATATCTGGGTTTTCTACTTGAATCCACTGGTCTGTAGGTCTGTTCTTGTTCCAGTATGATGCAGTTTTGATTATTATTTTTTGTATAGCTTTGTAGTACAGTTTGAAGTTTGGGATTGTAATGCCTCCATTCTCTTCCTTCTTAGTCATGAGCATTTTTGCTATTCGAGGTCTTTTGTTGTTTCATATGAATCTCATCAATATCTTTTCTACTTCTTTAAAGAATTTCATTGAGGACAATCCTTGGCTTTTAAATGGTGTTTTTAAATCCACTTATAATTTAACATAATTATTGATAGCTCAATTTAGACTTGCATTTTATTATTTTTTCCCTTTGTGTCTCTTTTGTATGAGAACCTAGTATAGAAAGGCTTAGGGGTGATTAAATTACATAATGTAGGTTGGGGCAGGTGTCAACCATACTCCTTAAACGTAGATGCACAAGGAATAAAACTTCATTTTCTTTTTCTTTTTTTTTTTTTAAAAGAGTTTTATTTATTTGTGCATACAGAACAGGGGTACAGGCCAGAGGTGCAGGGGTGGTGAGAGGATTCACCAGTGACAGAGTGGGGAGCAGAACAAGCAGATTGACGAAGTACACTGATGGGGGGAGCAGCGGGCGGGTCAGGAGAGGTCTGCCACACCATGTGGGCCACCTCCGGGGCAGGCAGGATTGAATTCATGCGGAAGTGGCTTTAGCTTCTTAGTGCTGTGCTTTAACCTGCTGCGCCACCAGGGAGGGCCGAAAACTTCATTTTCTTTAAAAAACAACAAAGAAACAAACAAAACCTCATTCTGTTCTTCTTTTAAGTTCCTATTACTTTTTATTAAGATGGGGGGACATTTAATATTAGTCATTTGGGATCCTCCATTTTTTCTTCTGAATGGAGACATCTTATGTATAGTTGAGGTAGAGGAGAACACACATCTGATCCTTGATCCTTTGCTTCAAGCTGGGCTATCCACTGGGCAAGTTATTTCACCTCTCTCTGCCTTAATTTCCTCACTTACAAAATGGGAGTGATAATATTATTTATTTCAGGGGTCACAATTACAAAAAAAATCACCTGTACGTTACTTACTTATTAATTCATTAACTCAACTTGTATTTTCTGGCCTTCTACTATGTGCTAAGACAATTCGAAGTCCTGGGGAGTCACGATTGCCAAGACAGAGGCAGACCCTTCTCTTAAGCTGCCCTATTTGGGTATCTGACAGCAAGGCTCTCCAAATGTAAACTCTTCTGGTTACTCCTCTATGACTCTCAATTTCCTCCCTAGCATGGAGACATGTTAATGGAGATATCAGTGATTGAAGTGTGCATTCCCTTAGACTGTCAGCAAGGCTCTTGGACCTGGAAGTTTCTCTATACCTCCTTCCCTGCAATTCTTGGTACAAGAGATATTTCTTTTCCTTTTATATTACCCTGAGTAGAAGGGATTATTAGGCCTTCTAAGTCTCCTTCTAATTTGATGTGTCAGGTAGCCCTTTCCTCTTTCTGGTTTCCTCTAACATCTCTCTGGGGCATTACCCAGGCACCATGGTTCAGGTCTTCTCTATTTTTAGTCTCCAAACCCATCTGGCCTTTACCTGGGGCTCACCAGGGATGAAAGCCAGAATCCCACTTTCTACATCTACTATGTCTAGATGTTCACAATTTCTTCCCTGTTGAAATCTTTCCTCTCTATCTTCTGGGGAATCTTGATTTTGTAATAAACTGGGTGAGTGAAGGATGATTTGCATACAGTAAAACTCAGAGATCCTGAGTATACATTCAGTGATTTTTGATGCATGTATACACCCAAGTAAATGTCCACCAAATCAAACTTTAGAATGCTTCCACCACATCAGGATTTTCTGTTTTGCCCTTTTTTTTTAGCTATTTCCCCATGTTTACCCCAGGCAATGCTTCCTCTGGCTTGTCCCATCACAGATTACTTTGCTTGGAGGGGTGCTGCTTTTTTTTTTTATATTAGTTTATTTTTACATAATTTTGTGCCTTTTTCCATTTCCGTTTTACTACCCGTGCGCTTCCCACCACCAATTCACCCATGTGCCATCACTATAGTCCAGTGCAATTCTCCCCCTCCCCCATTTTTGATTCCATTCCCCACCCCATGCCTGTAAAATGTCTCTGGTATATAGTTGTTCATTATTATTATTATTATTTTCTCCCTTGGTCCTTTATACTCCTGCTGTGAGTGAAGCCATTGGTATTTTTCCTTTTCTTTTGGCTTATTGCACTAAGCATGATCCCTTCCAGCTCCATCCATGTTGTTGCAAAAGGCATGTGTTCATCTTTTTTGATCTCTAAGTAATATTCCATTGTGTATATGTCCCACATCTTTTTTTTTTTTTTAAAGAATGGGGGAGGGGGAGAATTTATGCATACAGAACTGGGGTACAGGCCAGAGGTGCAGGGGTGGCGAGAGGCTTCACCAGAGACAGAGTGGGGAACAGAACAGGCAGAT